TCTCTCCTTCTCTATCTATCTATCTATCTATCTATCTATCTATCTATCTATCTATCTATCTATCTATCTATCTATCTATCTATCTATCTATCTAAACAATTGAGTTTTATGCGCAACGTTTAGATAACATAATAATATCCTTGCCACCCCTAGCTAATCTAACAATGGTATGCTGCTACCAAGGACTACTATACTCAGTATAAACAGTTCGTGTAGCCTACATGATTTCAGTATGCCTGTTAACGATAGACTCGTTCTTTTTATTTGTATGTTGTCTCATGCAAAATGCAATTATATTGTGTTAGCTTTGACGTTGATGTCTTTGTGATTAATTAATGAACTATCATGTTGATGGAACTAAACGAGAGTTGCGTTGGTACAAATTGGAAAAATACAAAAAGACTCTGAGAATAATGTACTCCCACCCCCCCCCTTCTTTTTTCCAAAGTAAAAGTAAATAAATGAATAAAATTAATAACATGAATTGTGTATATCATAATAATATCATAATATATTAATATTTTTTTAAAAAAAAGGAAGTCTCCCAGGGGAGACAATACGATGTATTCATTCTTTTTACAGGAAGTTGACATGGTTATTGCCCCTATCGGGGTTACAGGTGCTCGGGAGAGAGTTGTAGATTTCACATTCGCCTTTTTCTACGATGATTCGGCAGTTATTATGAAAAAGCCAGACCCCGAGAAATCAAAATGGAGAACTTATATAGACATATTCAGACAAGAGGTGAGAGTTCTTGATCTTGCACCGTTTTTATCATCATCATCATCATCATCATCATCATCATCATCATCATCATCATCATCATCATTTGATTAAAAAGCACAATAGGTAGGGAGAGTCTTTTTGATTTTCAGACAATAAGTATTAATTTAAAAAATTGTTTATTAAATTGGATCAACTTTTTACCACGTGCTTTCCTCAGGAACAACTGAGAGTAAGAATAATGTCGCACTGCATTGGTATAAAGGAAATCGGCCTAACAATGGAGGGGAGGCTTTAAGTTTTAAGGTTACCTGTAGATATCATATGGGCTGGGTGGGACTCTTGTGAGCCAGGTCAAGGAACTAATTAGTTATACAGAAATCAATGCTAGTCTAACAAGAGTATCAAAACATTAATTTATCTCTACACTTATACGAATGGTCTTGTCTGTGCCACAACGGGTGTGTGTGTGGGGGGGGGGGGATTCTTATCACTGCCAGGCTGACAGGAGGTTAAATGATGGGATGAAGAAAGGAAATGTTAGAGCCTACTTCATAGGGACATAACGATAGGTAGGAAAAGGAGAGGGGCAGAGAGAGAGAGTGAGAGGGAGAGGGAGAGAGAGAGAGAGAGAGAGAGAGAGAGAGAGAGAGAGAGAGAGAGAGAGAGAGAGAGAGAGAGAGAGAGAGAGAGAGATAAAGGGGGGGGGGAGGGATAGAAGTACAAGTAATTCTCTAGTCCTGATTGTCGTTGTTTCCTCACTTCTCTCCCCAGGTGCTAATGTGCATAGCGGCTGCCCTGATTCTAGGTGCAGTGGTCATTATGGCTCTGGAGAAGGCAGTGACATTTGTCTACATTCCCTCCCCGAGGGTGTTTGCCAAGACATACGCCGGTTCTTTCTGGTACCTCATGGGTGCCATGCTAAATCAAGGTAGGAATATTTTTCAAGACAATAATAATTGATGCCAACTTATGAGTTTCATAAATCGATATACTGAACGATGTTTGGATGAATGGATGGACGGATGGACGGATGGATGGATGGATGGATGGATGGATGGATGGATGGATGGATGGATGGATGGACGAATGGATGGAAGGATGGAAGGATGAATTGATGAATGATTCATTGATAATTTGATTGGTTGGTTGGTATGGATGATTCATTAATAATTTGATTGGTTGGTTGGTATGGATGATTCATTAATACATTGATTGGTTGGTTGGTATGGATGATTCACTGATTTATTAATTGGTTGGTGATCTTTCGATTGGTTTGTTGGTTCTTTGGTTATTTAAAAAAAATAATCTCCATGACGAAATCACGCGCAAAGAGTCTGAATATTCTTCCTCATCCTAGTCTTGCATTTGAGATATCAGGATCGTAAACGGAACATAAATGTTTCAATGTTCAGCTGTTCAAAGCAGATCGTGGTGTCCTTCTGGAAAATACGGGTTCGGTTTTAGTTTAAAATAGTTTTACAGCACTTGAAACACAAACACAAAATAAGGTCATATAAGTGCCGAAGATTATAGGCGTTACAAAGAGAGTGACATACAGAGAAAATGACGAGTTGAGACAAGGACGATACATGTTTGATAGGAAAAGAGGGGGCATTCCTCATTGTCTTCAATTTTTATCTAGCTGAAAATGAGCGCTTGGAAATAGACTATTGAGAAAACGGAGGAGAAAAGTGAGAGAAAACACGTTGAAAACACTTGTTAAAGTGGTCTGTGGGAGTAGGATAAAGGACCTAGAGCTCAAACAAGACAAGATTCACAACTTCACAACATCAATCCTTCAGGAGGTTGGTAGTGCCAACACAATGTAGATCCTCTAGGAGGTGGGTTTCTACACTGCCATTTATTGCCAACCCGAGTTGACAGGGATAAAACATCCTAGCAGAAAGACCGAGATGTTCGACTAAAAAAACTCCCCACCATGAAATCGAACTTGGGTCTACCGTATGTGACGGCGATGCTCCTAATCGCTACACATCAGGCGCCAGTGTACATCGGTGAAATGCAGAGAAATTGTTTCCTACATCTCGTTGTAATGTTGTATCTGAGCAAGTTCTTTTGAAATAAATGTTATTCGTCTTGAGTTTGCGAAAAAAGCCTGATATTTTATATCAAATCTAAATCTATCTGTTTGCTTTTCTTGCTTACTGAAGTCTGCGACTGATCGAACTGGATATCGATTTAATAAGTATTTTTAGCTTCAGATGGCACGTCCTTGTTAGCAGATAGGTTTTATTCTTTTTTAAATGTGAATTTTAATTGACTTTTTATGGCTAGTTCCATAGGTTTGATTTATTATACAGACATTATTATCGAAGACCCGACACTGTTGTGGCTGCTGTTCTTTGCTCTCTATAAAAACTGCGCTGCGCTGCTGCTCATCATAGGTTGACAAATGAGATGCAAAACACGCTTCGATTTAGTCTAGTGTGTGCTTAAACCTTTTTATCCTTGCCCTGCATTTGGTCCATGGATGTGTATTGTAATATCCAAGACTGTCCACTCTTATGTTATTCCGTTCACCATAAAGTGCACCATAAATGATTGTATTTGGAACCAAACGAAGGACCAGGAGCGAAAGGTTGCGCGCACACTCGATTATAGCGAGACACGTATTGCGCCTTCAACTCTCGAGCCCATTGTGCGAACCAGCACATCAAAGTTTGTTGTTTTTTTCAATAAAAAGAAAAGAGCAGCAGCCATGATAGTGCCTGGTCTAAGAAAATAAAATGATATTGATTTGTCTATGATTTGATTCCAAACGTAGTGAAATGGTGCGCTCTATGGTGAACCTGAAGTACGTTAGAATGGACAGTCTTGGATAATGTACATTGTAATGATAGTCTATGGCTGATTCACACATGTCAGAATTATTCCTCAGGTGGTCGAGATCTCCCAACATCCCTTGCGGGCCGGATGTTCATCAGTTCTTGGTGGCTGTTCTGCCTTGTGGTCGCCGGTATGTTTTTGCTTAGTTTTAGTAAGCGTTTTACTAACACAAAATAGTCAAATAAGCGTCGAAGATTAGAGGTGTTATAAGAGAGTAACAAACACAGAAAGAAAGAAGCAGGAGTGGTAAAGACGACAGAATGACTGATAAAAAAGAAGGAGCAAACCACACTAGAGCACCAACCACCCACCTACTCCGGTCTGTTTGACAAAGTGTCTTGAGAAATTAAGATAAAATACGATGAATCGTTGTTGCCCAGAATCTGGCACATTGGTTTGATGTTTGACAACACACACACACACACACACACACACACACACACACACACACACACACACACACACACACACGCACGCACACACAAACACGCACAAACATACACACATACACACAAACACAAACACACACAAACGCACACGCACACACACAAACGGACTCTCTCACACATAGCCTACACACTCTCACAGTGAGAGAAGAGAGAGTGTGTGTATAGGTGCGCGCACGCGCATGCATGTGTGTGAACGAGATGTGAAGACATTTTTAAGTCTGAATTTGCGAAGCTTAAAAACATTGACCCCTCTGATGTCTCCCATTTGTAGCCTCGTAGGACACTGTATGCTGCATTGTGAGCTCTTGGTGCTCTTTTTAAAAATTTCTTTCAGCCTGTGATAATATTCCTATTCCAGGCTAAAATCATGGCGGGGAACCGGTTTAAGGCCCTACCTTCGAAATGTTTTCTTTTGTGTTTATTGGGAATATCTTCAGTAATCGTCAAGAATATCTAACAAACAAAATCGACCATTCTTCTCGTAGGTATCGAATGGTCTTACAGTGACACTAATGGGTACAACTTGTCTCCTTTCTCACTGCTGCCTTTGCCCGCTCTCGTTTCGTATTCACCCTACTCTAACAAGCCGTAATTACGGTGTTGATATGAATCTTTTTACTCAAAAATCTTTCTTTCCGTAGGCACATACAGCGGCAACCTGATCGCTGTCCTGACAGTGAGCAAAGACAAGCCTCCTTTTGACACTTTGGAAGAGATGGCGAACCAGGATGAGTACAGATTCGGGACGCTTGGGAACTCTATGTGGACAACGTTATTCGAGGTACGTGTTGCTGCAAATGTTTTGGGAACTAGGCTCTTGGACTCGTCGTGGTTTCGAATCCCAACAAGGACTCAATGTTGTGTCCTTGCAAAAGGCACTTTACACGAATTTTCCTCACTTCACCCAGGTGGAAATGTGTACCCGGCTATAGACAGAAAAAAATCGTGTCAGTTTGTTAGTATTTGAGCGCGTGAAATCCGCAGCTTGCAACCGTATGCTCCCCGGGAAACCAAAAATGTTTCTGAGTGTTCTTGGGTCTACTGGGGTAGTACTGGTTTTAAAGCTCATAAGGGGGGATCTCGTGGCCTAGAGGTTAAGATGTTCTCCTCTTATTCAATAGGTCACGGGCTCAAATTCGGATAGCGACGGAAAACTTTCTTCTCTAAAATGTTCTCCTTTCACACCCTTTCCTGGTCCCTAGCAATGTTCTGTCGTCTGCTTTCGTTTCCACTTTCTGCCCGCACCTCTTCACCTGCTTTGCCCCCTCCTCTGGACTCCTGACTCTTTCTGTAGCCTTTCTACTGCTTCTCCTTGGCTGCTTCTTACTGCTGTCTTTCAGCCAAACCCCTGATCTTCCGATAGGAAAGATCTACACCTAGCCTTTCGGCCAAGGGCGAAAAATCTCGGAGGTCCCGGGTGAGAGTTTCGCACGTTAAAGATCCCTTGGTGGTCTAAAATAGATAAGAGTATGCTTCGGCCGCCACCCTGGCAAAATTCAAAGATTCCTACCAATTGAAAATGTTTTGTTTTTTTCTGACCCTGCCCAGTTCTATCATCTTGCGCAATTGTGTTTAGTAATAACAACAAACTGTGCAGCATTTGGGATGTTGAAGTTAGCTGTTAGTCTTACAGTAGATTCTAAACACTCAGGAAATGTTTTACATTTAAATAAATAAATGAATAAATCAATAAATAAATATGTTCCTTCACTCTTATAACGTTTATTGGTAAGTTACACAGCTAAGTGTTGCCATAGCCCCAACTGGAGAAGGTTACAACAACTGGTTAGTAGTTAATTGTTTAGATCATGTTAGTCCTACATTCCTCCGCTTTTTCGAGTAACGAGGTGGGCACCCTTTGTCCAGTCCCCAAGTGTTTAATATGTCCCGTGCGCTCATATGACCTTATGCATTTGCGAGTTATGTAAAACACGTACCAAAAAAAAAAAAGAAAAAAGAAAAGCTCCAGAACATGCTGTGGAGCCTGGATATGCGGTATATAAATGCAATCATTATTATCATTTCATTAACTACAGATTATCGTGGGTTTAAGAAAAAAATACGTGGGCTACACTATTCAAGGTACGACTAGTCTATTTTAAAATTATTTATTTAAAAAAAGGGGGGGGGGGATTATAACAGTTTAGTTTCTTCGAGCCACAGAATGGAATATTTGAAGGCTTGATGTGCACTGTGGTGCCTAACTGAAATTCTTAGGAAGGAATTAATTGCTAGTATTTTTGAAAGGAAACTGTGTACATGTCATTAGTTTTTCTATTAATAGACTATTAAGGGAAAATATTAAATTGTGTACATTTATGTTGGCTCTTTGTTCCATTTTTACAAATTCCATTTTTCTATTTCTTTCTTTCTTTTTATTCGTTTGATAGCATGCGTATTTTATGTTTTGCTTTCTTGTTCTTTTTGTGTCCTTTTTTCTTTCTTTCCTCATCTTTTTTTTTTTTTTTTTTTTGTTAACGTGAGGATTGCTTCTTACTTGTTTTGTCTTTTAAATTTTGTTTGATTTTTTTTAAATATGGAAAATGGTGTTAAAGGTTTTTCTATCTATCTATCTATCTATCTATCTATCTATCTATCTATCTATCTATCTATCTATCTTTCTATCTATCTATCTATCACACACACATACATACACACACACACACACACACACACACACACACACACATACACACACACACACTCACACACGCACTCGCACAAGTTGTTGCTTTTATTTATCTATCAAGGATAGGAGGGGTCGGGGAGGTCAGCTAAGTATTGATACGTGATTTATCTAGCGTTTCGTGTATTTTAGGGCAATATTTCAGTTTGCATTTTCATTGACAACATGAATTTCCCGTCTCCCCTCCCCTTTACCACAAAATATATCCTAGAACGTATTTTGGCCTCTTTTATTTTAGACATCTCCACGACCAGAGTTCCAAGCGATCCACCACAAAATCCAAGGCTACGCTGCCAAAGACCCCAATGTGCTGCATCAGGACCCAGATGTACATCTCAGTCTGGTCAAACAAGGAGGCTACGCTTATATTGCAGACAAAGGCCTCTTCCAGGTTGGTTCGAATATAGTGTTTAAGCGTACAGAGTGAGTTTTACGCCCCTGTCAACTCATGATAATATAGGTCGTTTCAAATGCGTGTCTCTGCTTGTGGGATGTTGGAGGTCTATTTTAATTCATCTGAAAGACCCTCAATAGTTACGGGCTAAAGACAAAGTATGTGCAGTGAATATATTGTGTAACCTTTACTTCGCCAGAGGTTGCTGTGCTTGGTTTCTTCTCGATTCTGTAATTATATATCTTTGAATGTGTTCGTATGCGTGTGTGTGAGTGTGTGTATGTGTGTGTGTGTGTGTGTGTGTGTGTGTGTGTGTGT